GACCTTCTGGGTAAATCTCAGCTTCTAAACTTTGCTTTTTGCAGCTTGTTTTTAGTTAAAGTGAATAGTGGTGGAGCAGCACCTGCAGCTCTGTTTCAGGTAGATGGAATCTTCAATGGCTGTCAGAAGCAGCACAGTGAGTCTGAAGACCAAGATTCTCAGCCCATCTTTGTAAGGGAAAAATCAGAAAACAGGTGACTAAAAGCTGTGTATGAAAAAGTGCTCATACCCAAAGGCAGAACAAGCTGTTTGGCATTCCAAACTTGTTTGATACCTTCTCAGAGTCTGACAAGAAGCCTAATGGAATAACCACCAGTAGAGGCCTTATGAGGACTACTGACATCAGTTTGTCAATATGGGAGGTGTTCATATTGTCCCTTCTCCGTCATGTTATTTACTTGTAGTCAAGGATGTAGTTTTGCTGGTTCTATTTGACACCAACAATTAAAACATTTTGCATGAATGGAAGAGGATATATGTGATGTAAGATCTCTATCCAGAGAGGGCTGGGAAGCTGGAAAGGCCAGCCTGTCTTTTCTTCAACATCTTTGTAAAGTTCTTCTTTATACAGGGCTTGACTAATTTAGATATTCTTCACAGCTAAGCAGAAGTCCTGAAATACTTGGACTATTTATTAAAGTCTTGGCTCTTGTATTCACAGACTGCATAAATATCCACCTTCTTATGATCACGTAGAAAGTGTAAAAATGTGGTCTTAAGGGGTCAAATACCAGATGTTTATAAATGTTTTATAATATTTGGAGTTTTTTACGTGAGTCTTCTGATTCTGAAACCCTTATTTTACAGAACTGCCTGCTTGCTGTTGGCAGTACTCTGTAAATGCAGAGAAACCCTGTAAATATTTGCTCATGCTAGTCCTTTTTTCAGGTAAATCTGCTTACTACACTAGGACCTTACACTTGCTCATGATGGTAGAGTCCAACCCTAAAGATGTATCTTGTTCCTTGTCTGATTTTGATTGCTTCATGTTTCCACTTCTCATGGAACCCGAGTCTTCTTTCAATGGCAAGATGCTTATGGATTCCTAACTTTGCTGCTTTCCCAGCAGTTCATCTGTGAGGCTTCTGCTCCATTTGCAGCATCTTCACCACTCACTCCTGCCACTCAGTTGTGTATTGCTCTTTGTAAGTATTTTGCCAGGTATGGGCTTTGCTTTGTGATTTAACCAGACTGCTGATATTTGCAGCTCCAGCAAGAAGAAAACATGTTAAAGCAATTGTAAAATAATCAGCATCACATGAGACTGAGAAGGTGGGATCCGATGATCTGAAACACGGATAGCAGTGAGAAGGAGAGCTGTCATGCTGAAAAGGACCCAGAAGTCAGCAAATGAGCTGAGTTGATGATGTGACACAAGAAAATTAAAGGCAGAGTGATTCTGAGCAATATATGCAGGAGAGTCCCACTCAAGGGGTTGAACTCCTGTAGTCTTATCTGTGCTAGCACTCTCCACATGTAGTGCAGCTACTGGGGTGGGAGCAATGCTAGATACAATGCTTAATCAATAAGGTGATATAGCTACCAGCATGTGGAACAATCTCTCTGAGGAGGGATTAGCGGTTGGGATTAGCAAATATAATTGGACCTTGCTGAGACTAGTATGCATGTCAGATAGAAGGGGATGCCTGACTTCACTATTTGTGAAACAATATAATGTAAAATGGGAAATAACATTGGGGCATATAATTGTTGGCTTTTGTTACCCTCCATAGGAATATGTTTGTGGAATCTGGGTTCTGGTCCTGAGTGCCCTGATTTCAAGAAGGAGCCCATGGAATTCTTGACAGGCTGGCTAGCTGTTGCTGTTGACGAGCACTGCCTGCTGGACCAGTTAATGTTTATAATATACGTTGCAATGGTTGGGGTTGTGCTTTTACTATCGAATATCTGAGCAGATACCACGGGGCACTGAGTCACTGTCTGCTGAATATTCCCTGTGCTACTACTGCAAATAAATTCACCAGCTCCCATCTTAATAGCTTGCTTTAGAGCCAGTGCCACACTTCACACCCTATTCTGGACACTCTCCAACAAGTTAATGATTTTCACTGAGGAAGGTAAGTAAAACTGATGAGAGTATCCTTAACTAAGGAGCCATAAAGTTCTAATAGAGAAGTAATGTTCCCAGCAAGCTTGAAGGAAATCCGATCAATAGTTATGAGGTTGAGGCTCAATTTATGGCTCAATTTATGGCCTTAATTCATCAAGCATAGTCATTCTCCATTTTTGCACAGGATGGTCTTGTGGTTCTTGCTGAGCAGAGGAGTACAAAGTCTGCACAAGCCCTTTCTCAACAATTCCCCAGGCTTTGTCATTTATGACAGGTGACTCTACAGAGGTGGTGATCAGAATACAATGCTCTATTTGAAGGCGATTTTTCAATATATAGGGCAGACTGTACCAACTGATTTGTTCTGAGAGCCTCAGGCTTGGAATGGTTTCACAGTGAGTGGAAAAGAAAGTTGGTTTGGACCTCTTTAAAATTTGACACTGCAGTTATTCATATGCCTGCAAACCTCTCCACAATCAGGAATGGTTCAGTAGCACATTCTCCAAAAATCCTTTTACTGCTTTTTTGTAGAGCCCTTGCAAAAGAATTTGCAAGGTGCATATGGGGGTTGGGCTTCAACATTTCTAAGCTGCCTCTGTGGTAGAAAGAAGTTTTCCCAGCTGCTTCCAACACAAGTGTGATCTCTTTTAATAAGTTTCCAAAATGGTATATAAACACAGAGGCAGACAATGAAATGTCATCCAAAGGTTTTATTAAATGCAAACTATGTAGCCACCTCCCATCAATGGCATAAGCATGAAGTAGACAGAAGCATTTCAAATGAAATGGAAAAGCCTTGGTTAAAGCCATCTCTGGTATCTACTTGTCATTACTGCATACATAGGTTAGCAGAAGGAAGTTTTAAGTATCTGAAGTGATAGCAGTGTTTTTGTAAGTATACAATAAAGTCCTAACTAGAGAGAGCTCTTAACACTTGACCAAAAATATTTTGTGATATTCATTCAAATATAATTTCTTAAGCATGCCTTCAAAACCCCCAAAACATACACCGTGTACAGATCCGCAGGCTGACAGCCTGGACCTGCAGATGATCTTCATTGTACAGATTCATTACTGCTTTGGTTATCTGTCAGTGGTTTTTATGTGTAATACTCCCTGGTATAACCTCTGACTTTAATGGATGCCTATAAATGGCTCTGGTCGGGGGGATAGAAGGAGAAAGAGTTGGAGATTTTCAGAGACATGTAAAAGACGCGGAGAGCTGAAATGCCCGTAGTGGCTTTTCTGACCGTCCAGTGGGGACTCTGGGAAGCCAGGGCTGCTAGTGCCCTGTCAGCCCTCCCTGTGCTGCAGCATTTCCCCTGCCAGCAGCTGCAGTGGCAGGGAGGCCACAGGGCTGCAGGAAACCTGTCCTGTTACCTGAGCCAACAGCGACACCCAGGGCTTCAGCAGCACAGGCAATTCCAGCTTTCATCTGCAACCTCGGGACGCCTGGAAAATACTCCAAAATGTCACCCTTTTTCTCTTCTCGAATGACTACACTGATTGAGAAGAAAGTAACATTTTGCTTTAGTAATTTTATCAATAGAAATCCTGTATACTGTTGCGCTGAGAGTAAATGAGATCAGCCACAGGCACATCTATATTCAAACAACTGCATTCACATGAAGTGGATTGTACTATTTAATCTCTATCAAAACAATTAGATGGTATCATTTGCAGCTAAAGTCAAGACAGTCAGCTTATAAAACCTCCTTTTTCTGCTTCCTCACTACAGCAAAAAAACTCACTGAGGCCACAATGAAATTATTTTGGTAAGCTTTTATTGAATAAATGCACAAATTGAGAAGAACAGTACACTTAAGGAGGATGTCACAATCAAAATAACAGATGGAGGTTCTGTAACAGTGAACATTGAGTCAGACTTTTATAAAAATGACCCTGAACAGCACCTCGAAGACATATGCCTGAGCAAACAATGGTAAAATGATTACAGAGGTAATAGTGACTTTAGAAAAATATTTCAATAGAAGCAGAAAAGCACCTTAGTATTGATCAGGACACCAAATGTGCTGAGAACAACTCAAATCACACAATACAATTATAAAGTACAAGTGTACTTCCCACTCCTGTATTATGCAAGCTGTCTGACTGTCACTGGGTTATTGGCCCTGTCACTGGTGTACAGCCTGCACAGATGCTGAGGTAGTTTCTTGTTTGCTTTTCAAGACCAGGCTTACTTTAAATCCAAAGGGAATACCTGTTCCTCTCTCCAGGGCAGGAGGAAGCTCAGCTGAAAAAGCACCAGGCTGTAACAGCAGTAAATGAGACCAGTGAACGTAGTTTTACCACCAAGCAGAGAAGGTACGGAGGAGAAGAGCATGTATGAACCTCAGAGTTTCTATGTTCCAGTTGAGAAGCTGAGGCTAATTCAGTAGAAAATGAACAAATGAAATCTGCGTTACACCAATTTAAAGCATAAAGGTGCAAAACCCTGATTCTACTTTGAGACAGGGTATGAAAAGTTTCAAGTTCAGAAAGCACAGGAATATGCAGTCCATGAACCAATGGTCAGGCTTGGCCATGCCTGACAGCACATTTGGTCACTCCTGTATGGTGCCATGGACTTCTTTTGAAAAAAACAACCATAAGCATCCTTCTTAAACTGAACCAGACATGTAAGTAAGTAGTAGTCCAAAAATCAGGACTAAAGTGTTGAAGATGAGCATCCAAAATGTGAAGTATCTGTGACTCATGTAATTCTTCTGAAAATGTGTGCTGTCGCCCATGAAATAATTGCACTTCTATAAAACTGCTTGCTGCTTCCAAGCTGTCTCTATGTCTTGTAGGATTTATACTGGAACAGGTATTTTCTATTCATCTTTTCAAGGAAAGATGAAGCAAACTTATGTTTATTCCTGCCATGGCAGAGCTGGAAATGGGATATTTGCCAGGAGCTCACACACTGTCAATGTGAGACTGTTGCTATGGTCGGCAGCTCTATACCACTGGTTTTCCTTTGCACATTTTTTCCTTCAGAATTTGGTAAGAAAGGTTATTTAAAAACCAGTCTATATCTTGATAATCTTCAGGCCACCACAAATACTGACTCCTTTGCAAGAAGTTTCGAATTGGTTTGTGTTTCATCAGTTGATATTGAGAAAGTGACCCAACCACTATCATAATGAGGACTTCTTTCATATCACATGGGCTCTGGGAAAAATTAAAGGCTTCAAGATACCACCCATCTTTGAGAAACTGCCTGCTCATAATGCAAATTGTTTTCCTTCTGTCAGAAATGGCATCACTAATATTGTTGAAATGTTCTTCCCCAGGCAAAAAATCTCTTTCCTCAAAGCACAAGGTAAATCTGGTTTTTATCAAAATACTGTGAATACAGGTGCTTTAGCAAGCAATTCTGGACCCACTCAAAATCATTTTTGCTGTAGCACAAATACACATGATATCTGTATTCACTTTTATCTGCTACCTGTGGATGGCTGTCTATCATTCTTCTTGTGGTAGTTTTATACCAGATAAAACAAATCCCCTGACAGTGAGCAAAAATGATGACTGCCACAAGAAACATGAGAAGAGTGACTGAGCAGATGATGAATAATGAGAACCCGAGTGTCTGCTGGAGTTTGTCTTCACCACAACCATCATATGTCTGAGATGACAGTGACACTCCTTCAAATGAAGGTGGGTATACGCAGTACCTGTCAGATTGTGAGCCAGTTAGGGTTACATTGGTTTCATTTAGCCACACTAGTAGGCTCTTTAAAGTACAACTACAGACATAGTTATTATGTGTTATATCCAGAATACTCAAAGTCATAAAGACTTCAGGCTCAGGGGAAAACAGCTGGTTTCCAGATAAGTTTAGGTTTGTTAGGCTTTGTGGAAAAAGCCTAGGAGAAAGATGAGACAACAGGTTGGAAGCTAGAATAAGTATTTTTTGAGATGTTAGACCTCTAAAAATCTCCTATGGAAGAGCACTAAGGTAGGTGTTATTCAGCTGTAGAACCTGAAGTTTGGAGAGTGCCCCAAACACATCCAAACATAAATCTCTCTCCCACACAAGCGGTAACATATTTTGACCTAGATCCATATAGATTAACTGATTGTTTTCTATAACACTATTATCACTTTTCACACAGTAAGAGAAGCAATTCTGTTTTAAGAAGATATACTGCACATCTTAAACTTGGAAAAGAATGCACAGGCCACCCAAGTTTGCCAACCAATTTCTTTCTAATTCAAGGTGTGTTGTGGCTATTGCTCTATCAGTTCAGTGATTAGCTTATTGTCACCTAAAAAGGCAGAGGTCAGATGTGGAAAGGAATGAAGTCTTTTAATGGCATTGTCTTGGAGATCAGTTGTTTTCAGACTTACTAAGTTTCTGAATGATTTTTCACCAATCATCCCAGTATGATTTTACTGCAAATCAATAAAGGTTACACTAGGTAGACCTTCAAAAGTATAATCATACAACTCACCTAAAAGATTGCTTGAGAGATTGAGGATTTTAGGTTGCCCAAGCCAAAAAATGCTTGCCTTCGGGTTTGATTTATCTTGTTTCTGAAAAGGTTCAGCAATTCCAGATTACCAAGGCTTTGAAAGATTAAATTATTGAGAGAGAAAATGCAACCATTTGAAATACCTAAGAAACTAAGATCACTTCTTGCTAGTCCTGCAAAAGTGTTATTACCTGGATTTTTTAAGTTACACAAGTCAAATCCTGAACCCACTGCAAGAAAGCTAAATATTAAAGAACGGATTTTAGTCCCTTTAATGGCTGTACAGAAATATTGGTCTGTCTCTGTGCCCCAGCCATTGCTGCTGAGGTGTAGGGAGTTAAATGTAATATTTTTGAAAGGATTTGGGCATTTGGCCCAGTACATTTTTTCTGTCTAGTACAAATTATTAGGACTGAGGCTAAAAAATAAAAAAAAATGTTTTCCTTGGAAGCTGGTAATATTGCTTTCACACAGGTTGGATATCTTGTTGAATTTCAGGTTCACAGTTTTCAAGGCTGTTAGATTATAAAACAAGGGATGAGGCTGAAATTTTGTGGCTTCATTCCCTGAAAGTTCCAATTCTTCTAATGATCTCAAATCTTGAAAGTAACGATCCTCCAGGATGGAATCTCCAAGGTAGTTATTAAACAGACAGAGTACAGTCAGTCTTGGCAAGCCCACAAAAGCATCAAAATCCAGATGAAGAATCTTATTGTATCCCAAGCCTAAGACACGAAGGTTTGGCAGGTTCCTGGAAGCTCCTTTTCCTATGGTAACAGGATAGACATACTGAGTTCCAATTTCCAACAGCAACAAGTGCTTCAGCAGTGGAAATGAAGTTGCAGTCACTTGTCTGATGCAGCTGAAAGTTAGCAAAAGCTTCACAGTAGCCTTCAGCACAAGTGGAATATCTGTGAGTTTGCAGTCATAATATAGAGAAACTTGAGCTTTTGAGTAGCATATTCTGAATGCAGACACCCCACTAGCTAGTGATAGTCTAAAGCCAAGTACTAGCTGGTGACATAACATCATGAACCTATGTGAAAAAAAAGAAAAGTGAAAATAGCAAGCATTAATTCTGCAGTTGGCTATCTATGCAGTGAGTTGTAGAGCATATTTTTAGCAGTTGTAAAATACAGGACTAATATCACAGTAAAAATGACTCGTGATTTGGAATTTATCCTTTCTCTGATGCCTAAGAGGCATCATCTGCTAGGCTGTCTCGTCAGAACATGGGTCCCAAAGAGATGTGAGCACCTCCTATGACCTAAAAGGTAACTCTTTTATGTACCTTAAGGGCAGAACCAAAACCCCACTAGGTAAGTGTCAAAATCTTGCCCTAGCTATTTAATTTGTGCCAGTGACCTGGTAGTGCTGGTGTATTAGCTTAAATCCTTAATTATTTATCCAAACAGGTTTAAACAGTTTGGAATACCCAAGTAAAGTGCAGTCATCCGGTCATCTCAATAGAGCAGGCCAATGCTGCTATTTCCCTGAGTGCTCTCTTTGTAAGGGCAATCACCTATTTGGAATTCAGACTGCTGTCACACAGAAGTGTCCAGCAGCCATGAATGTTTAAAAGGGAGACCTCTTTTGGGGCTCCTTGAACTTCAGATTGACCCGACAATGCAAAATTATTCTTGAAGGGGTTGTGAAGTAGTTTTGAAAACACAGGTAGGAACAAGGCTAACGGAGAAGGAACAGAACACAGTAGCCTTTTAGTGATGCAAGATTTCATTAAAAACTCTATTTCTTGAACTGTAAACTCCTAAATTATACAAAAGGGTGCATAACATAATTTATGCAGCTTGCTGATAAATCTATTTATTAGTTTATTCCCATTCTGTATTTTCCTTGCATTATGCCATCTGTCTGCCCGTCTCCCTTTTTTTTCTTGAGACAAAATTTTCTTCAAAGCAAGGAAGATATTTTATATTGAGTGTGGTAAAGAACAGAGCAAATTATTAGCCCTAAAGTACTTGTTTGTGTACTGTAGATTAACCCCTCCCAATCTTCTAACTCAGATTGCAACCATCTGCTTCTGCTTTTAGACATGCATTTATTGAAATGAAATTAAAACCCAATGGGAGATTTTTTGTCCTCCAGCAAAGGATGCTTAAATATTAGGAAGTATAAACCCTTGTGGAACCAAACCCCCAGTGGCCATCTAACACCTGCAAAGTAAATCTACTTCAGAGAGGAAAAAAGTGGGGCTTTGAACCAATAATTTAAAAAATAGGTAAACCCCACTAAATATTGTGCTGGTTTGCACACACTGCTTCTTTAAAGCAGAAATACAAAACTCTATGCAGAATATTACATTATTAAACTAAAATAATCTTATGCTTATTGCCATCATACAAAGGCATTTCTGGGAAATGAAAAAATATGTCAGTAGAAACCACCACAACATTCCCATTGCAAATACCAAACGAAGGAGCTAGCCAATTTTTAGAGACTACCTACTACACAGTAAGTACAAGGAAATTACAGCACCATCCAATCTCATAACTGACACAATCTCACTGTACCAAACATTATTGGTGATGTTCTCAAAGTCAAAGTTAAAGGCTTAACTTGCAACAGCTGTGACTATTAGCATGAACCTGCAAATTTTCACCCTAGAAGCTCAAACACTGGGTGGGAAGCACACACACTCACACCTTAAAATACTAATCTTGTCATTTTTAAGAGTATCTCATGTGCTTGGGACAAGATCTGATTCTTGAAAATAAAAGAAATTATGAATAAGGATAAGAGTGGACCTCCATGGGCTGCAGGGGCAGAGCCTGCCTCACCATGGGCTGCACCATGGGCTGCCAGGGAATCTCAGCTCTAGTGCCTGGAGCACATCCTGTCCCTCCTTCTTCACTGACTTTGGTGTCTGCAGAGTTCTTAACACATTCTCACTCTTCTCCAGCTGTAGTTGTCATTGTACAGTTCCCTTCTCCCCACTTTTTAAACACTTTATTCCAGAGGTGCTACCACCATTGCTGATTTGCTCAGCCTTGGCCAGCAGTGGGTCCATCTTGGAGCTGGCTGGCATTAGCGCTGTTGGACATAGGAGAAGCTTCTGGTAGCTTCTCACAGAAGCCACCCCTGTAGCCCCCTGTGCTGGTTTGAGCTGAAGTAGAGTTAACTTTCTTCACAGAGGCTAGTATGGGGCTATGTTTGGGTTTTGTGCAGAACACAGAGTTGATAATGCAGAGATGAGCAGAGCTAACACAGAGCCAAGGCCTTTGCTGCTTTCCGTAGTGCCACGCTGGCAAGGAAGTTGGGGGTGCATGGGAGATTGGGAGGAGACACAGCTGGGACAGATGACCCAAACTGACCAAAGGGATATTCCACACCATAGGACATCATGCTCAGTATATAAGGTGGGAGGAAGAAGGAGGAAGGGGGAACCGTTACGCCTGATGAGGCCCTGCTCTCCTGGAGATGGCTAAACACCTCCTGTCTTTGGGAAGCAGTGAATTAATTCCTGGTTTTGCTTTGCTTGTGTGTGCAGCTTTTGCTTCCTTTTTAAATTGTCTTTATCTCAACCCATGAGTTTTTGTAGCTTTTACCCTTCTGATTCACTCCCCCATCCTGTTGGTGGGGGAGTGAGTGAGTGGCTGTGTGGTTCTTGGCTGCTGCTGGGGTTAAACCACAAGACCCCTCCCTTTCTACCAAAACCTATACAAATCCAACACAGAGCCTCTGGGTGAGTGAGGACATTTTTGCTTAGTTTCAGGTTAAGCCTGACTCAGTATAGATAATCTCAGCTAGGAGGACTCTCAGATTTTAAGACTCTCAATTTAGGCTACAAGTTCTAGAACAGGAACTCCAACAAAGTCAAAGAAATCCTTTCTTTCTTCTCTCCTTCTTCCTTTATCAAATCCAGTTTATTTTTGATAACAAATTTCCTGATAGTAAAGTTTTTATAACATCCATGTCCTGATAGTATTAAAGTTTAAATACCTGACCTTTTAACCTCTGTAACTGATCTTTGGCCATGCCATATTGCATATAAGGTTCTTGGAATGGCTCTAGGAAAGGAGTTGTGGTACATACAACAGCCTATTACCATCCAGCCACACTAACAAGACAAAGCTGAACTGTTAAGATACAACAAAACTTGCTGGCAGTTAGGGCTGAAAGGGTCTCACAGCTCAGCAGTGTGGGACAGCTGAGCCAACCCAGAATTGCTGCAGAAGCCTGTACAAGACTCTACTCCTGACCTTAGACTTGGCAAATTATCTCAGTTCCCACATTCAACTACTTTCTTCAGTGTTTTACTCTTTTCACTACACTTTGGCTTAGGCTGAGACCAAGTGCACCAGAATATAAAGAAGGTTTAACTACTACATTAGTATGACCTTCTGCATCTGTCCTCTTCCACAGTGCTTCTAAGTCTGGATTTAAAGGTAAGACTTTAGTTTCTTCCTGGAGAATTTGGTTGTATTAGCTGCCCAGTCAGAAAAGTAACCCTCAAGCAAAGCTTCAGAATGAAGCCTAGAAAACATGCACAAACCTAATGCAGCCCATGCACAAATATCTGCCCTATCCCTGTCTAGTGGCAGCTCTGATCTTTGCATTGCATTGACCCTTCTGTGGAAATACCCAAACAGAATGAAGCAAACTTGAACAAAAAAACAAACCAACAAAAAACAACAACAAAAAAAGAGAATAAGAAGCAATGTGAACAATGGAAACCTGTCTCTGTTGTTTATGCCACAGGGAAAAGACTTCCTCTAAAGTATCTAGAGCAGCTGGGCTAGGCTACCAATGCTTTCAAGTTTTCTGAGACTGGGTTAAAGCTATTGAGACTAGAGGCCATGACTTTGGAAACCAGTACCTCAAGGTGGAAGTAGATACTAAAAGGACAACTGACTCTAACTCTTCAATTCTTCAAAAAGGGGAATATTGATTGAGTACAACATTATGGCAGAGACTTTGTACTGACAAAGGGAATTAGAGGACAGTTATATCCATTGCTAATTCTGTACTCAACACTGTGCTCTAAAGCTGAAGTATGGTTATGGATTTTAGCTAAACTAGTGCTTTGGATTAAGCAACCAAAATCAAGCAAGCAGGGTTCTATTCCAAAATAATTCAATGAATATTTCTTCCAAGCCCTGCTCAGCAAAAAAACCTCACAGCTCTTGCATTCTTGTGTGCATAGCCAAGTTTCTACAGGAGAGATATAAGGTACTCTTACCTAACATACTTATGTGCTTATAGCCTTGTAGTTAAAGAAGTTTCTTTGGGTGAGAACCAGACTGAAGGTTCTCAAACTGAGGAGGGCTAAGTATTCAGGTCTTCCATTTCCTTTAATGGTCTAACTGGGTTATAGTATCAGAGATGCCTCCTTTCCTTGGCTAAAGTTTGAAAGGAAATGTCCATGGCTAATATGCCCTGCACTACACACAAAGCTGCAGCTCTGCTAGAAGTGCTGCATGAAGGTTCCCCCAAGGAGGTCTGCTTGGGGCCATGCTCTTTGTGTTGACCTCCCCAACACCAGCAACGGCTGTGCAAGGCTCCTCACCCCAGAGTGCTCCTGTGCAAGCGCTTACACATACTGTGAGCTGCAGCAGAAATGGTGGTACCATGTGGCTTTATGATTGAAGGAAGGACCAGATTTTGGGGACGTGGCTGCCTAAAATCCACTGAAATTCACCTGAATAGACAAATGTGTCTCAATCTCGTTCTTCAGTTCTGGGTCCCTTCCTGCCATCTAAACAAGTCTCCCTTGTGCAGTA